CCGCTCCTCGTGGTCGGTCCGGACTTCAGGATCTGGGAAAGTGAAGATTGTGAGAGAGGGTCCGGGATGAGAAAAAACACGCAAAGCTGAGGGGTTTGCTCTCCCCCACTTTCTCTGCGGTGCCCTCTGCCACAATGTTCAACTCTCTGTTTTAAAGACAATTCCCTTAAAACTGCTTAAAGTTGCTAGAAATTCGGTATTCCCTAGGTTCCCGGTCCTTTTTTTCAAGGGATGGGCCATGTCGTTACAAGACTGGACTCTGTAGACGGAGGAGTTAGGACACTTCCGTAGATGATCTAGGAAGAGTAGCCCCAACACTACAATAAGAGCCCCAATAGAAACCCGAGACCCCACTCAATTCTGCCTGCTATCCAGCCCAGCCATTCTCACTGAGTTGGTCTGAAACCTGAAGACAATAGTATCTCCCCTCAACTTTGCAGATCGCTGAAAGCAAAGGTCCAGGCAAATGACCTGGTAACTGGGAAACCACACTAGAACTTAAAATTGCCAGGATCATCTCTGTGCTGTATCTGATGTTTCACACATGGGAAGACAACTCTAGAGAGACATATATATGTTACCCCACAAATATCTTGAATATTGGACTTTTACTACTCTATGCCACCATCCCCTGGGTCCAACTTGAAGGACGAGTTCATCAAAAATAATCCTGGATGCTAGAGGCTTAAAGTTAGCAGCGCTGGCCTCACAAAGGTGCTCTGACATGACAGGAATGGTAGGAGTATACTAAGTCTCTCACCTCTGAGAGCCCAGCCTGGCCTTGAATTCATTTTGTATTGGAGGCTGATCTTGGACTCTTTAATCCTCCTGCCTCCACACCCCAAGTGTTAGGATGACAAGTATGTGCCACCGTGCTTTGGTACAGTGAGTAAAGATGTTCCGGCTTAGGCCAATGAGATGGTTCTGGAGGGAAAGGCACCAGGGGCCAAGCCTGACTGACCAGCTGAGTTCCATCCCTGGGACCTACATGATGCAAGGAGAAAATGACATCCACAGCCAATTGTCCTCTGACAGCCAGCTGCCCTTGCTCCATGGCACATGTGTACACACACACACACACACACACACACACACACACACCATAAATGAAATATACTAACATTTTCTAATTTAAAAAACATTCAGAAAGGCTGAGTGGTGGTGGTATACACGTTTAATCCCAGCATTTGGGAGGCAGAGGCAGGCAGTTTTCTCTGTGAGTTCAAGGCTGGCTTGGTCTACTGAGTGAGTTCCAGAACAATGAAGGCTACACAGAGAAACCCTGTCTCAAAAAACAAAACCAACCAACCAAACAAACAAACAAAAACACTCAGAAGGGCTAGGCATAGTGGTATACATTTTTAATACCAGCACTTGGTGGGCAGAGGCAGGTGGATTTCTATGAGTTTGAGGCCAGTCTGGACTACATAATGGGTCCCAAGACAGCCAGAGCTACATAGTGAAACCCTGGCTAGATAAACAAACAAAATTTAAAAAACCAACCTAAATAAGTAAAAACCCCTTCAGGCCTCTAGAAGTCAGGTGCCTGTACACAGACAGATCTGCATTAATATAAACCAGAGAGGATTGTCTGGAGTCATGTGAGCAACGGAGAGATTCAAGAGCATGGACCTGGGTCTGCCACTGCCACCAAAGGATTCACTGAGGAAGGGCTAGAGTGAGGCTTCTACAGACACCAGAGAAGGTGGTACTGAAGGAGGGGCCTCTCTGGGGCCTGAAGTCCTGGAATGCCCTCCTGCAGGCCTTGAATCATCAACCACCCCTTCTTGGCATGTTCGGAACTCCAGAGAGGTCAAATTGGTGTCCTGAATTGCTGTCATTTTAAATTCATCTTGACAAGTGTTTAATTTTTCTTTATCACAACCCTTGGTCTGAGAGTGATATGCAAATAATGGCTATTCTGCTGCATGCAAAATGTGCAGTATCTCTCTGTGTGATCTGTCAATTAACTCTGAGCCTGGCCCACCAGCCACTTTGGGGGTGGTCCTGGACATGACAGCCTCTCTGCTGGCTCATGATTCCTTCTGGTGAAAAAGTACTGCGGTCCTGTGATGAGTGGAGTCCATTTGTGACCGTGTATACATTTGAGTTCTTGCATAGCAAGATATCTGTGAAGATGAGCGTGTAGGCGTGAACCTAAGAGAGCATTGATTGCAGGTTCATCCAGGAGAGCTGGGAATGTGGCTGAACACATCTGGGGGCCGCAATGTATGTCACAATTTCAAAAAGTTGGCAAGGAATCTGATACACTCTTCCAGCCTCTCCCTGCACAGCCTTGTATGTGGTGCACTTGTGTACATGCAGGCAAGCATGCATGACACACACTAGGCGTGCTTTTTCAACCACACAGTGACATTTTTTCAGCCCCCATGTCTTGAAGTTTGAAAAAAAAAACATGTTTGTATACATGTGTCTATGAAAGTGTGTGTGTGTGTGTGTGTGTGTGTGTGTATGTATCTGTGTCTGTGTTTCCTAAATGTCTACTGAGTGAGAAAGAGGCTCTAGTTTTTTTCTTGGGCCCATCTTTCCTCTCAAAATTTACCATTTCCACTGGGCAGTGGTGGCGCATGCCTTTAATCAAAGCACTTAGGAGGCAGAGGCAGGTGGATCTCTGTGAGTTCGAGGACAGCCTGGTCTACAAATGAGTTCTAGGACAGGTTCCAAAATTACATAGAGAAACCCTGTCTCAACTCCCTCCCCCCAAAAAAAACATTTCCCATCCTGGCAAGAAATAAACTTCCTAGGCCAGGAAGACTGAGGAGACTGCAACCATTTGGTTCCATAAAGAATATATTCTGCCAGGCAGTGGTGGTGTACACCTTTAATCCCAGCACTTGGAAGGCTGAGGCAGGTGGATCTCTGTAAATTCTAGGCTAGCCTGCTCTACAAAGCAAGTTCCAGGACAGGCTCCAAAGCTACACAGAGAAACCCTATCTCAAGAAACAAACAAACAAACAAAAAGAAGACATCCTGAGGATGAATGATGGCTCAGTGGTTAAGAGTGCTCACTGCTCTTGCGGAGGAGCCTTGCTTGGTTCTCAACCCCCATACGGGATGACAACTACTGGCAAGTCCAGTTCCAGGGGATCTGAAGTGCTCTGGCCTCTGTGAGCACCTGCATATGTGTGGTACACATAAATTATGCATGTGTGTCCTGAGTGCATGCAAACACACAATTTTTAAGAGAAAGTTAAAAAAAAAAGAGAGCAACATATATGGAAAATAGTTTATTAATTCATTATAGGGACAGATACATGATCAATGCCTTAGTGTAACACTAAAGAATATCATATTTGTAAGGGGGAAACATGATGCTGGAAAATGCAATTAAATAATACAGCATAAACTAAGGATGGGTAAATAAGTGAGCATGTAAGTATTGAGTACACTTGTCATGCTTCAAGAAAAGCAAGATTTTTAAATGAGACTCAAAAGAATTTAAGGCATCCATGGCAAGCGACAAAGGAATTAATACCCTGTAAAAGGCCAATAGACTCTTTTCTAATAAAACCTGCTGCTACAAAGACACAAATTGAACACTCCCCAGTTACTCAGAACCCAAATCATATATAATGCTCATGAGTAACGGCTACTTTCTTATCAACTGTGAGTTATAGGCAGATACCAGATTTATTACTTATTTGCTTTTGAGAAACAATCTTCCACCCAACCTAATGGGTTATAAATTGTCTCATTTGCAGCTATTTAATTTAAACCAGAACCTCAGTGCCTGTTAAACAAGAACATGAGAAATGACTATGTGGTGTAATGCTAAGAGCCTACTGCTAAAACGGTTATTTCATTCAAGGCAAGGAAAAAAATCTAACCAGCAAAATAAAATGAGGCTTTTGACCTTCAAAGCAATGAAGAAACACACAGTGGTGTTGGCCGTGGCCACTCCACTCTGAATGCTATAGAAGTAGTTCAAGTGACAATCCTGTCTTTAACGAGACACGAAACCAACATTAATAATCTTTAGTGTTATCATAGGCTGGCGAAGAGGGGAGGAGGAGGAAATGTAGGTGAGGTGTCAAACGTGAGTGACACACGAGGGTAATAAACACAGATGCTTTCAGGGGCTGAGGAAGCTGCAACTCTGCTGAAAGACATTAAAAAAAAAAGAAAGAAAGAAAGAAAGATACACTGGTTATTTCTAATTTGGCCCAGAAGCCAGAGTTAACGCTTGATAGGCCAGCCAGTTAAAATAAAAAGACGTGCAGTCAGAGAGCAAACACCCCACATTCCATACTCCTGGAAGATGACTAAGATGAGACATCAAATAGATAGCATGGCTTTCATGATACAGGAAGTACAAGTCAGGCTTGTCCCTGTGTGATAAGATGATCTCAGGATTCAATGTAAAGAAAAATAAAACAAAATGAGCCAGCCACCCTTTTCCTGTGCACAGACTTCCCTTCTAGCATCTTGGAGGAGACTCCTTTCCCACTCTGAGTCCAGTCAGGTCAGGGAACTGAAGCCACTGCAGCTCCCCCTCCCCCTTCAGCTTCTGCCGGGACTGGAGACTGCAAGGCAAAAGCATGAACCCATTTTTTTTTTTTTTTGAGCAGATGGGTGGCAGTCGTTTTATTCAGCCTCTGGTTTCAGTCCCTACCCCTTCTCATGGCTTCCCTGGTGCAGCCTGGGTTCATCACTTCCGCAGAAAACGTACCCATCTCAGTCTCAAGGGGAAGGAGGCCAGGAAGCCAAAAGATCTTTCCCAAATCTACCTGGAGTGGGTCATTTGCCCAGAGAGGGGGCTTGCAGGGGGGTCGTGGGGAACCCATGGGTCATACTATGGTCTGAAGCAGACATGAGGTAGTCATGTTGTTAGGGAAGGGTGCATAGGTCGAACCCAGGGACAAGAAACACATGACACAATGACAAGCATGGGAGACACAGAGAAAGGTGAGGCAATGGGAGGCATCACAGGAAAGAGAAGGGCCCCAGGATAAGGGAGCAAGGCAACACAACACAGACCACTAGAACAAAGAAGGAGCACAAAAGAGGGGACAGGGAGAGAAGAAGATTCCCCAAGCCAGGCACTTCCCATATTACAAAATTAGGTGCAGAGTTGCTCAAAGGACAGGGGAGCTGAGCTGGGCTCACCCAGCCTTCTGGGCCTTAGGAGGCCAGGGGGATGACGGCTGTGCAACTGCAGGCTGCATCGTAGGCCTGCAGAGTTGACTGGCACCCGGCTCAGCCCAGCTGACAGCAGAGGGGCTGGGGCTGTCTTCGTAGACACAGCATTGGAGACACTCTCAGAGTGTAATAAAAGGCTAGGTGACAAAGCTATGGCTCAAAGAGCTGGCACTGATCACTGTTACACCATCCTGCCATGGAGGATCCATCAGGTCACTGTGACTGCTACATACCATGAGGTTTCCCAGCTCAACCAGCTCACACACGTGACTTCACATACGTCCATCACATGGAGCTGTGTCTCAAGTCCCTCCAGTATCACGTATGTGATGCAGAATATGGGGGAGAGAGTAAAGGTCTCCCTCATCCCAGCCAAAGGATCCTAAGAGGCTCCAAAGGCTTGTTGACATCTCTAGTACACATGTGTGTGGCCGTGCATATCAGGTCCCTGAGCCATATCAGCCTTTTGCTCAGGGAAGCTGAGCAGAGGAGACAGGGGCTCTGGGGAGGCTTGGGCTGACTGCTAAAGGGTACAGAGCTTTGGGCTGGTAGCTTTCCCCAGGGGCCTCCTCTAGAATAGTGCTGGGCTGGAGGTCTGGGCAGGAGCAGGAGGCACTGGCTGCCTCTGGTAAGCAGGTGAGCCTCTCTGGCCCAGTGGTTGCCTCTTCGCACCCTTCCAGCTCCCTGCCCAGCCAGTCTGCTCCTTGAGACAGATCCACAGCCCCTGAGGTGGAAGGCAGAGCTTCAGTAGGCAGGGGTTCCTCAGGCTCCAGGTCTTGGAGGTGGAAGTCAGGACTTCCTTTGGATGCACCGAAGTCAGAGTGGACAATGACCTCGGCCTCCACCTGATTCCTGCAGGCTGGGGGCGGCTTCTTTCTCCCGTTGCTCTGGCAGAGAACAAAAGGCCAGGTGAGCATCACTGAGAATGGTCATCAGAAAAACGATCAACAGATGTGGGGTGGAGAAAGGCGGACCCTCCACTAGATAATATCACAAGCACTGTCCCACCTGAGAAGGTGCTCAGACTCTGGCAAAGGAAGGTAGTAGAGAATTTCACCTGTTTGCCCACACTTAGGCTTCCAGAAAGTACTAGACACAGGACCTCCATGAGGAGCAGGAAGGACTGAGTGTATCAGGAGTTAGGCTACCCTCAGTTACTCTGTAATTCTACTGTGAGCCACTTAGTTCCAGGTAAAGAAGGAACTGTACCCAAACTGGACTTCCTGTCACCCACTCCGCTTTGGAAGCTACAAGGCCTCCTGAATACATGCCTATCCCTGGAAAGACATAGGGGGCCCTTCCCTCCTGCCTCCCCTTCCTCTCAGGACACAGACCTTTATGGCATCATACACCAGAGCCTGGAGCAACAGTGTCTGCCCAGTTCCGGCTGGAGGCAGCAAGGCACGGGTCAGAGCAGGCCTAGGACCACCACCCTGGGGCAGCTCACAGCCTGCCCAGGATCCTGTCCAGCTCAGCCCACTTGGTTGTGCCCAGGAGATCTGCAGAGAAGGAAGAAGGCATATGCAGCGTCCAGGCCTGTGGACCCTGCTATCTCCAGACAGGTTCCATGCTAAAGCGCCTTCCCTAGGCCAGGGTGAGAACTGAGGTAGGGAGCATAGGAAGGGCAGAATCATAGCCCCAACAACACTTGATATGCAAAGCCTGAGGCTCTCAAGTCTGGTGGACTCTTCCTCATCTCAGAGGAAAGGGGAGAGATAGGAGGACTGACTGTCCTCTTAGTCAGGGTGTGACACTACTGCAGCTCCCAGGGGACCTGGCCTATGGGGTCTTACCTAATCCTGGACCCAGCCCTACTTGGCCACAGCCAAAGTGATAAGGGAAGTGAGGAGAGATCTGGGTGCTCTGAGCAAATACAGCTCTGGGGCCCTCCCAGGTGAGAACAAGGCTGGCTACTCCCAAGGGCCAAGGAAATGGACACAGGCTTCTCCAGTTGGCTCAGGGCCTGGGGTATGTCTTGCGGTCAAAAGTTGTGCTCTGTCTCCCCCTGGTGTTTAATTTGGGAATGAGTCCGCGTGTGCCTCTGACCTATCCAGACTGTCTCTCACCTTTCTCTTGGAGTGGCCCCGGCAATCTGAAACACTGCCACCCATAAGGCTGTGCACTTCAGCCTTGTCTTCCATATCGGAGGGTGGTGGGGACCAGTCTTGGGGGCGGGGATGTACGAGGGACTCCAACTCATGGGCAGCAGGGAGACTGGGGGGCCCAAGTCGAGCTCTGGAGTACAGGGCTGGGTTCCCGGAGGAGGTGGCTGTGGAGGACAGACCCGGGAGGGCTTCCCTGCAACAGGAACAAAGCAATGGGTCAGACGAGAGTGGACTTGGTTTCCTGGCGTGGTGTGTGCAACAAGAAAGGAAGGAATAGTGTCTGTCCAGCCTGACCCCTTCCTCGTATGGAGAGGTGGGCTTCTCTGTGCACTCGGCTGGAAGCTATGAAGGAAGCACACAGGGTAGCTTTGCCTGCTCTTGTTGAGGTGGGGAGACCGGGGCTCCCCTAAGCTCATCCCACATTCTCATGAAAACAACTCCTCAATCCTTCATCTCAGAATGCTAATAAATTATTGGCCTGTTTTTGTGCTGCTGAGAGTGGAGCCCAGGGCTTCGCATAGGCTGGGCTAATGTAGCACTGAACCCACCCCACCTCCGTAGCCCTAACTTTAATGGGACTCCATGTACAACAAGGAAGTGTATGCTCCTGGGTCCACTTTGCAGCCTTCCTGGAAACCCTCAGTCCCCACAGTTCCCTGGTTCACCTGTGGGAGCTCCGTCGTAGGCCAGCACACATGCAGGCCAGGAGGCAGAGAAGGCCCAGGCAGACGCCCACAATGATGCCGGTGACAGAGTGCACATCCAAGGAGTCTGGCGGGGAGAAGGACAGAGCAATTCAAGGACAGAAGGGCACAGTGGTCATAAATCCAGAAGGGCTGGACCTTCCTTCTGCAGAGGACTGCCAGCCTCAGTCTCACGATTTGGGGATGCCCCCTCTCTTCCCCTCTTTTATTTTTGCTTTGTTTTCCTGAGACAGGGTTTCCCTGCATAGCTCTGGCTGTCCTGAAACTCACTCTGGAGACCAGGCTGTCCTCGAACTCAGAGATCCACCTGCCTCTGCCTCCCGAGTACTGGGATCAAGGCATGGCCACCACACCAAGCTTCGAAGCCCCCACTCTTCTGACTGGAGTATAGACGGCCACAGGACCTCACCAAGCCCCGTACTAAGTCCACCATGGTCTTCCCTGCTCTACACCACTTTTCTCTCCCCACAACACCAGACTTCACAGAATCAGCTTTTCAGCAAGGCCTTCTCCGCCTGCTTTCATGTTGAATACATGAATAACCTAGAAGGGGTCAAGGTGTGGTGTGCTGTGTACACACACATGTATCTGTGATGTACACACATGTGCATGTAGGGGAGACGCACACAAGTGCACACATGTGTCCCATGGAGGTCAGAGGTCCACATCACATGATTTCCTCAATCGCTCTCAGTCCCAGAGGTCAGCCAGTCTCTGCTTCCTCAGCACTGGGATTACAGTGTAAGCTGCCACATCAGGCTTTCACATGGGTGCTGGGTGTTTGAACTCAGGTCCTGGTGCTTGTATGGCAGCATTTTACCAACTGGACATCTCCTCAGTCCTATGTGTGTTTAATGCTCTGTTGGTTCCATCTTTGCATCTATAATAATTTTCAATAAGGGCCCTGGATTCTCATTCTTATCTTAATTGAGCCCTGTGAGTTTCTATGCAGCCTGCTATCCACTTGCCCTTTCCAGAGCACATGAGCTCACCAAAGCCAATCTTCTAAGCAAAGCGAGCTCCCCAAGAAACCAGCTCTCTGATGCCCTCTGACCATCACATGTGCACTGTGCTATACTCACACACACACACACACACACACACACACACACACACACCACTACAAAATAATAAAAGAACTATGACAGTCCCTCTACCAGGCTACCGCTGTCCCCCCACCCTGACCCCATGGTACCAAAGTCAAGAGAGTGCAATTTCCAAAAGGCAGGATGTTGGGAGTAAATTCAGGGATCTTGGGACCCCAGGTTGCCCCAAAGACCTCCTCCCTTCTCCTCCTCTAACCACAGCTGACCAGTACCTGAGAATGTCTCCTGGAGAGTGATCACATCCTGCAAGCGGGAGAAAGGCCCCGGCCCCACCTCTGTGCGGGCCCCCATCTTGAAGAAGTACCGAGTGTCACTCTCCAGGCCATGAACCTCTGCACTGAAGATGTTTCCTGTGATGAGATGCGGAGAGTTGGGTGGCAGGTAGAAGGGAGTGGGCAGGAGGCTGCACCTAACCTCGAAGCCCCCAGAACGTTCTCAGGACTAACTTGGTCACCTGAGAGGGTGGAAGGGCACCCTTACCCTCTGTGGTGAGCAGTGTCCACTGGTGCTCAGGCTGGGTGTGGTTGTTGCTGTAGAGAATTAGATACTCCACAATCTCGCCGTTGGGCTCTGTGGGGGGGCACCAGTGTAGCCGAACAGTGGATGGGGTCAGAGGGCTCAGGCGCAGGTCAGACGGGGGTGTCGAAGGCCCTGCAGTGCAGGGGAGGGAGGGAAGGATCAGAGACACAGTCCCAGCTGAGGGTGGCAGGAAGTTAGGGGATGAGGGCACAATCTGCCCTTCTTTCTCCTTCACTGGACCCAGCAAATGGTGGCACCTATGGGGAAGAGGGCGGTGGATACTTACGGTCAGGCAGGGTGGAGCGCTCTACTACGGAACCAAAAGGCCCATCCATATCCACACCATGGGACTGTACTGCAAACTCATACTTGGTGAATGGCTTCAGTCCACCAATGAGGATGTCTTCTCCGGAGCTTGTTGGGGGTGGGGGGAGATAGATAGGGCTAGTGACCTCAGACAGGTTTCAAGCCAGGCAGAACCCCAAGTGTAAGCCCCTGTCTCCAGCCAGGCCCTACCCTGGAGGGAGCTGCTCCTTGGGACTATTAACCTCTCCTCCACACACATCCAGGTAACCCACAGAGAAATTGGATGTATGTTACTTCATGTCTAACCTCCAAACCAGACCCTCCTGACCTCCAGGAAGCCTTCCTGAATTAATTAAGTTATTCTGCACCTGGAGGACTGATCACTTCTGAGGCATCTTTTCTTGTCTTAGTTTATATCTCTGTTACCATTTACAGGGTATTTTCTCAACCAGACTAGCAGCTCCTAGAGCTATCTTTCTGCATGATGGGAGGTCAGGGCCCCAGCAGATGGAAGCCTCTAGTCTTGTACCTCACTCTCACCAAAGGGTGACCACAGGCTCTGCCATTAGGGGATGGGACCAGACAACTCAGCCTTCTCACTGTTGCACCCCGGTCAGGGAAGAGACACCTGTGTAGATCCTGGGTGTGCCCCTGCCACAGCCGAGCCCTGTAGTCTCTCTCCTAGCACTCCTGAGGCCTCCCGTTGCTGATACCTGGTATAGTAGGTGACCAGGGAGGCATTCCTGAGCCCCCAGGGACCAAAGCGCACAGTGTAGTTGACAATCTTGACGGTGGTGAAGTCTGGCTTCTTCCACCGGAGCCATATGGAAGTGGAGCTGTTTGATTCTGCGTGGACATGGGCAGGAGGCAAGGGTGGCCCCCTCTGGATAGGCAGGTCTAGAATGGAAAGTCCAAGTATGGGGAGAGGGGACCCACACTCATAGACCCAATAGGCTTTATTTGGCCTTTTCCTCCTCTTATTTTTGAGACAGGGTCTCATTACACAGTAACCCAGGCTGACCTCTAACTCTCCATCCTCCTGCCTCTGCCTCTCCAGTGCAGAAATTATAGCTGTGTGCTACCACAGCTGACACTGTCCCTCGCTTTTGATCCTGTGAGTTGGGTGGCATTATCCCCACTGCAACTGAGGCTCCCAAGAATTGAAGTGACTTTTGCTAAGGTCACACACAGAACAACTATGAATCATCACCAGCGAGAATGTGACAAAGAAAGCATGCCAGGACTCTGGAGCCAGGCTTGGTTGAAATTCCATTTCTGCCACTTACTAGCTGTGTGACTTTAGAGAAGTTGCATAATTTCTCTGTGCCTCCATTTCCTATTCTTATATGGATCTGATGACAGTACCTATGTCTTGGTTTTTTTTCTCTCTAAATGTATTTATTTAAAATATTATTTTTATTAATGTGTGTGTGTGAGAGTGCCTGCAGCCAGAAGAGGGTATCAGACCCACTGGAGCTGAAGTCACAGGCAATTGTGGGACAACTGAAATGGGTTCTGGGAACCCAACTCAGGTCCTCTGGAATAGCAGTAAATATTCTTGACCACTGAGCCATCTCAGTCAGACATGTATTTGCTATGTGGAGGAAAGTGGGTGAGTGTACTGCGCTGTGCCTGTGGAGGTCAGAGGACAACTTGGGGGAGCCTGGGAACCAAACTCAGGTCATCTGGCTTGCAACAAGCCCTTCACCTGCTGAACCATCTCACTGCCCCCCTCATGGGGGTTCTTTTGAGGTTAAATTAGTTAATACAATGCAGGTAGGAAACTGTCTGGTATAGTGTATACTGTGTGATGACAAATGTTTATTAGATAAACATAAAATAAACTCCAAGACAGCAGACACCTAAATGTCCAGAACAGAGCTGGCATGTGGTAGATACTTAGTCAAGTATTCGTTAAATGAAAAAAAGAAAAAAAAAAAAGAACTATCTGGAATTAGAACCCAGGTTTCTTTACTTCTGACTGTCAGGATGTCCCCAAGGTGACAAAGTAGGCCCATAGGGCAACACAACCGTGAACACCCTTGCTTGGGAGCCAGGGCTCTTGGTCCTAGTTAGTCTAGGCTTTGTGTGGCCTTAGGTGAATTCCTTTGCTTCTTTGACCCTTGTCAGTGACATTTGACACTGTGACAGGATACCATCACCTATAAAGTTCACTCTCAAAAACTGTGAAATTAGTCTGGGGGGGAGCATGGTGTGTGTCTTCAATCCCAGCACTCGAGAGGCAAACATAGGTGGATATGAGTTCACGGACAGCCTGGTATACAGAGTGAGTTCCAGGACAATCAGGGGCACACAGAGAAACCCTGTCTCAAAAAACAAAAGCAAAACAAAGAACTGTGAAATTTCTGGGCATAGTGGCACATGCCTTTAGTCCCAGCACTAGGGAGACAGAGGTAGGTGGGTTTCTGTGAGTTCAAGGCCAACCTGGTCTATATAGTTTCAGGACAGTCAGAGGTACATAGTGAGACACTGCCTTGAGGAAAAACAACAACCACCACCACAACAAAAAACAAATCAGACCCCCCCACACACCTGTCAACACTGAGCAGTGAGATGGCTCTGTGGGTAAAGGCACCTATTGCCAACCCTGCCTGAGGACTTGAGTTTGATCCCCAGGACCCACATGACAGAAGAGAACAGAGACTCACCCCTGCAAGTGCACCAACACATGCAAAGTAAAAATAATAATAATAAAAAAAATTAAAAAATAATTTAAAAAATTTAAGATTACAGTCAAACAAACCTTAATTTTTTCCTTTGGTTTTTTTCCCTGATGTAGCTTTGGAGCCTGTCCTGGAACTAGTGCTTGTAGACCAGGCTGGTCTTGAACTCAACGAAATCCACCTGCCTCTGCCTCTTCCTCTGC